AAACTAACTGAAACTACCTAAAGTTATAGCCTAAACATCATTCGTTTTCATCTTTGTGAATGTATTTAATACATACTGTAAGCCTTTTAGAAGTAAATCTATTCACTTCACACTGCAGGTGTTTGACCGTACAGCAACTCAGAGTCTGTAATCCTGCTGGCATTGGCCAGATCAAGCCGGTTCTCCTCCAGTCATACTCGCATGACAAAAACAATGAGTAGATATGGCAGCAGCACTATGACAGTATTAAATACAGAGACTTAAAATGATTAACACATTTGTGCCCAACAATGGGTTTTATTTCTGTATTAGTGATAGCGATCGTGAGCGAATCATTCTTTTTAAACGGATCTTCTAAGTGAACCGATTGAACTAGTTCACCAAATCAAACTGAATCATTTGAAACGATTCATATCTTCAGTACCGTTAAGCACTTATCCACAAACAACTTACTTCTTATATCCCTGATATCCCCCTCTAACTCAAAACAAACCAATATATACAGAGTTATTCAGTTATTAGAACAGTACACTGAGATCAGATTTGAGAAGCGTTGAACCGATAATACTGCACATGCGAGTTTCAGTGAACAGAACACAAACAGTACATAACAGCCTGCTGTGAACAACTGTAGCGCGAAAACTGAGGGCTTAAATGAGAGGATCTGGCGAAACATAAGTTTATTTCATAACAGAAAGCCGTAATGGAATTTAAATAAGTGAATCATGCTTCAGCCGGGTTGCAAAACGTAATTGTAAGAAACTTTTCAGATCATGGTGATGTTTTAACTGACTGAAATTATGATTGCTGAATAAGTTTTTTTGAAATGTCCAAACTTGGGAAGATCTGGTTCACGTTAAAGATCCGAACTTCCATCACTACTGTGTATTTAACCTCAGAAGCAGCCTTGCACACATATTGTACCAGGGACAGCTGTCATGTGAGCTGTTGTTTAAATTTGAAGATGGATAGATAGTAGTGGTAGACTAGGGGTCACCAATCTCGTTCCTGGAGGTCCGGTGCTCTGCAAGATTTAGCTCTAACTTGCCTCAACACACCAGCCTGGGTGTTTCAAGTACACCTAGTAAGACCTTGATTAGCTTGTTCAGGTGTGTTTAATTAGGGTTGGAGCTAAAATCTGCAGGACACCGGACCTCCAGGAATAAGTTTGGTGATCCCTGTGGTAGATTGTACTTTTTTGTGTCAAAAAAAATGTGGCCTAAGTTTGGTTTAGTTTTAATTATACAATATTTATTCTGATAATTTTGAATCTTGCACCTAAAAAAATATCCTAATTCACGAAAAACAACAACAACAAAAAACTAATACTGAAACTTAAAAAAAAACTAACCAAAACTAAGCAATTTCAAAACATAGACAGTAATAACAACAAGCAATGTAACATCTAAAAACTAATTAAAACTGACTGAATTTGAAAACAAAAAGTCAAGCGAAATAAAAACTAAAATGAATGAAATTGTTTGTTTGTTCTGAAGCCAATCAAAATAAATTATTTCCAAAGGGGGCTAAAAATATTGACTTTAGTAGCTTTTTTTCTTCCTTATTAAATAATAATAATAATAATAAACTATCAAGAAGGAACAAAATATTATAGGAAACATTGTGGAAAATATTTAATTACACAGGAGGGTGATTAATTTGGTCCTCAACTGTATTTACATCCATACCCACTTATAAAAAGATTTCAGTCAGTTTTGCAATAAATTCTGTCAGATTTTAAAAGGCTTTTTCATCTCGCATCTCATAGCTTCTAACATTGCATTGATCATCTGTAATTTAACTTCTTTAAAGAAAGAAAAACCGTGTGCATAGCAACACACAATTCTATTGGTGTTAAATAAGAGACGCGTGTATTTATATAGCACAACTTGCACACTGCGAGTTTCAGTTTTTCTTTAAATAGAGGTGTCTAGGTTTATGTTTCTGATTCTAAAACAACATATAAATGACACCATTTCTCGATTGTATAATTCGATTTTTTTATTTAATCTATTCTGTATTCTGATGAAATGTTATGTATTTGTTGTTAAGTATAAATAAACAGATGCTTTTTTGTTTTTCTGCTTTGTTTTTTACTTGACTTGTGCACCAATGAAACCTTTTGAAAAGATGAGAGAAAGCACCGTGTTGAGAAATCTCAGGTTATCTCTGTGGATATTTTTTATTATTGTAATCTTTTATTTAAAATTACAAATTTTTTAAATTCTGAATGATCAATCGTTTTGTAATTATGAATTTATAATCTGAAACTGTAAGAAAAATCTGCATTGTGAGATGAAAAAATACATACATCATTGTGTTTCTGAACTGACGTCTCTGTTTGAGGGTCCAGCAGATCATCAGGTGTGCTGAACATCTGCTCTAGTCTGGACAGGAACGTGAAGAGCTAATCTTTCAATCTGCAGCGTTTCTCTTTGTCTTTCTTATCTCCTGACTCTACGCCGCACATTCCAGCATCACAAACACTTCCTTCAGCAACAGCGCAATGCAAAAGATTTCCTTCAAGTCGGCATGGAATGGAAATTGACCCTGTCTGTTTGTTAAATGCATGTCATTGACCTCATTGTGGGAATTCATCAATACGTTCCTATCCAGCCAGCAATCAACTGACAGATAGAAGCAGCCCTTTTTTTAATTCAGTAATCTGTTAAACTCAGACGCAACCATATTGAAGGGAAAGAAATATGTTGCAATGCAAAATGCTATTAAAATAACACACTTGATTTTGCCTCTGAGTGTACAGAAATGCCACACCAAGTTAAAAAAGAAATGCAATGCTGAAAACAAATTATTAAAGCATTTAAGCACTTTATCAATCCTGAAAACCCTTTATCAATTATAGTAGGGTAGTAGAGTCATGACACATTATACAGACAAAATCTGTACAGCATGCTTCATAATATTATCCAAAAAGGGGAAAAAGTAAATGCATTAGCAAAGAAAAACTTGTACAAAATATTAGGTTATAGAACCTTATAGCCTTGGAACAAAAATAAATTGTTTTATTTTATAATTTACCTTATAATAGCAAGTTATACAAGTTAAGTTATGTAAGTTATACATGTTAAATAATACCTTATTATAAAATGGGGGGAAAGCTATTATATATTACTATTGTAAACTATTTTTATGACTTACATTAACAAATGTTAATAAATAATATCAAGAGTTCAGATGCAAAAACCTCTAAGCGCTAAATTAAATTTTCCTCTAAAATTTGCCCTTTTCTAAGGCTATTGTGTGTAGTTTTAGTAGCTTTACTGTTTTACCAAACAATACACAGTTTTTCCAAATTGAAAAATGAAATAACTTAACAAACATAAAAAGGCTGAAAAAAGAAAAAATTTAAAAGAAAAATTTCAGACGGCACTTACAGGTTTTTGGATCTAAACTGTTCATATATTGCCCAGAGTTTGCTAATCAAAGAGTGAACTAGAATAAACTATTGTTGACAAATGTTTTTTTAACAAAAAACAAAAACAAAAAAGTCAATATTTAGACAATATGAATAAAAAAATAAATAAGACATAAATAAATAACTTTTTTTATTTGATTAGAAATTACGCAAATTAATTAAATTAATTAAATTAAAAAGCTGCAATTAGCATTTGTATAATCCAAGCTAACAAGTCAATTCAAGAGAAAATTAGCCTTAGCTGTTTTACTTTCTTTGACGTCAAAGACAACATAGTCATGAGCATCATTTACCCACCCTCGACTTGCTCTAAAGTGGTTTGAACTTTTATTTGTTCTGTTGAACACAAAAGAAGATACTTTGAAGAATGCTGAAAACCTGTAACCATTGACTTCCATAGTATTTGTTTTTTTCCAAATCAGGCTTCTAACATTCTTCAAAAAATCTCAACAGAACAAAATCAAACTCAAACTGGTTTAAATCAAATCATTGCTGGGTAAATGATGACAGAATGAACTATTTTTGTGTGAACTACCCCTATAATTGTGACCCACTCGAACATACAGAAAGATTAAATGGAAATAAAAAGTACTATACCTGAACAATAATGGACTGAAGGTGTATGGTTAAGAGAGCCGGTTTGAAAGTGTGTATCTGAGACTGCAGTACTATATCTTCCTGTGTATCGAAGCACGAACACTCAATGTGGTCAAAAAGCAAGACTATCCAGGAAATGACAAAAAAAAATGCTCTACATGCTAAACAACACCTTGCCAAAATAGTAGCAAATATATCAGCAATATATCTGCTCTTCACAAGCAGAAGTGGAATCAGATGTGTGTCTGCAATGCCCACAAAAGAGCGACGATGACAATTCGGCCCTCAACTTCTCCATCAAATACTCCTTCGCTTGCATACAGGTTGAGTTGCAATGTTTAATAATTTGGCATGGATAATAGCCATGTTTCCCTGCAAAAATGTGCAACAAATCTGTGCGCAAAGCCGGAATACTGCATAAAAGACGTGCAAATAAAGCATCCAACAAGTCAAAGAAAACAAAATTGTCACTTCCTGATTAAATGGCGCCAAATATCAAAAGAAAACCAGAATTTGCTGCAGTAGGAGAGAAGCAATGAACGTGTGGTGGCGTTCGAAGGCGTGAGACGTGGAGCACAGATGCTCATGACAGTTCTGGAGGTCATTAATAATATAATAACTCTAATACTGAAACGGTTAAGGCGTTGTAGAACGACCAAAGCAACATTTCAGATGTTTTACAGTGTGGCCCCCAGCTGGTTTGTCCATTCATAGACTTTATCACTGCATGATGTCTTATAACAAAATCTCTTGAGCTTTTTTTAATGCGCATACTGGAATGTTTGCTAAGTGTTTCCATCAGTTTATGCACATCTTTTATCAAATAAAAAGTTGATCCTATGTTTTTTATGCGCATTTTCAAAACTTAATCGCATCTTGACGTTTCCATCAACCGTTTTTTTATGAGCATATGCAAAATGGGCATTAAAATAGGTGGGTGGAAGCATAGCAGAAGTTGGGTTTTTACCTAATGTGTCCTTGAGGTTCTTGACGATTGAGGCTTTCCTGGCACTGTTCTTCCGTTCGACGTAGTTGGATGGGACGAAGCCCGTCTTGTTGGTGGCGTTTCTCACACGCCACCAGGACTTGGAGTCATCCAAGAGCCACAGACGCTCGTTCTTCTTGATGTCCAGCTCCTGGTCCTGCTGGGCCATGTAATCAAACTTGGCGATGACAATCACCTCTTCCGTCATCTTGGATTTATTTCAACACTGAGGAAGACAGTAATTCAATCATCAGCTATCTCACTGCAAGATCAATATGCACAAAAACATTACATGATAAGAACAACTTCATAATTTCAATGAGATGATACACAAACAAATATATACATAGAAATAAATACAATTCACAAACACTGAATATTAAAAAGTTTAATATTATTTTTTCAATTCAATAATTAATAAATAACTAAAAATTCAGCCATTTTAAAAACATCTAAAGTGATTTCATTATAAAATCTTGTCTAATGTTACTCAAACTTTCCCATTGTAATAAAATAATGTATGTTTTATGGTGAAAGCAGCTTGACTGTAATTACATGTTGGTGGTTCATCATTCACTAAATACAAAATACCTACAGTGACCAATACAGCATCTGGTGTGAATGTCTGTTCATGCCTGTTATCAAAAATAGCATTTGAGAAGTGTCTTTCATGCATATTTGGGTTGATTTCTTGTAGTTTGATTATTTATGCAGCTGTCCCATTCCACTTGCCATGAGTTGAGATTACATGCTCCAACACATTGTCTTTATAAAGTCTTAATAAAACAATGATAAATAGGTTTAATAGGCTTGTTCTAATACAGATATTCATTTTTGGAAATACTTTCTGATGATACTGTAAAAATTCTGGCATCGGACAGGCCTAATAGCAGTATAAGCAACGGTCTCTACAGATACACACTCAGGTGTCGGTTCAGTACTTGGTACCCTGAGGTCAGACTGAGGAATGAGGGCGTGAGGGGCTTTTTTTTGACAGAATTTAAATTTTGGGGATGAAGTAACCCTTTAGGAAAATCTTTGAGAACAGAAAGTTCTTCCAACATCTCATTTTAAAGTCAAATTGCTTTTTGGAGAACCAACAAAACGTCTTCAGCTGAACTCATTGATAACAAATACTGACATCTGCTTGGAACAAGCTAAAGTGAAATTGAAACTTGTAGAAATCCTGATGTTCAACTGGATGACTAAGCTTGACATGACGGATCGAAAATGACAATGCTGTATTACAACAACAGCGATCTGAAGACCATTTGAGCTTGAAGGACACGTCCAGGTAGCTTTCTCAAACACACAATGATGACTATCGGGCCTACAGGGCTCAGAACAGCAAAGATTGCTGTCAGAATGGATTAACGTCGCTGCTCACCTTCTCATGAGCATCTTCAGGCCACAGCATAGGTGACCTACTTTCTAAAGGTCTCTGCACTCATGTTTTCATCAGCTGCATTAAACAAATTCTCTCCAGCGACAAAAACGTTGACCACAACTACAACATGAAGAATGACTAGACTCACATGAATAAGTTAATAGACACATTTGTAAAAACTCATATGAAGCTTGTAAGCTTGGGGGCGTTTACAGACCATTTAGAACTTAAAACTGAATCCATGTTTTTAAATAAGCATCTTGCCCATTGTTTACAAGACAACTATTTGGGCACCTGAGAATTCAATTTATAAGTAATTCTTAAACCATGTAAATAAGGAATTTAAACAAAGCTGATTTTGTGCATCTCAGAGCAACACTGAAGTGTCTAAATTCTGAACAAATCCATGAATCAAGCAAGTCAATGATTCATTCATGAAGACAGTAGCTGCATGCAAAAATCACATGCTTTCCCACTAATATTCAAAAAACAGTACCCAAATGACCTATATTCGAAAAAAGTATCCATCCCATGATGCCATACAAAAGAATTTACAGTTCAGACTGAAGCGACGCAACTGATGTGGGTATGTCATGTGATAATGACAGTATGACTAGGCCTTTCACAATAATCAATATATCAAATTCTCGTACAACACATGGACCTCAATCGTTTTTGGTGATGCAATATATATCACTTATACATTTAAAAAACAATAACGTTTTTATTGTTTACTTCGTTTATATATATATGACGTAAAATGGCCTTAAAATGGCAATAATACTGTTTAATTGATATCGTGATAGTATGACAGAACACGGGAAGAAAGTAGTACCTCTTACAAAAGGGTTTTTAAAACTCTCTGTGTTTAATTTTCTTTTTTATATGCACGATTATGCCTTAAAACTGTTGTATGAACAAAATTTCACACTCGTAGCAGTGCGATATGGCTGTATATAATCATTGGTGAGACACTAAGGCACTCAAGCCAATGCAAGCTTCCCACCAGAGCCTATATACCGCCATATCGCATTGCTAATCGTGTGACATTGCTAATTTATTACACGGCTGTCTGGAATACTCAATTCTGATTGGTCTGTCATGACATTCTATGGTATGTTAACCTAAGATAACAACCTCTAAATAACACAGGCTCATCTGAGAACTTCGTATCACCTTGACTGTCAGTGAAAATGTTCCACCCACACACCTGCATTCACATTTATATGTATCTGCTAGTCTGTCACGCTATTGTTTTTGACTGTTTGGCGCCATCTTGTGACTGAATAATGCACAGGTTAGTGTATACTCCATCAGCTGTCTTTGTTTCTGTCAATTTTAAAGTTTTTTTTTTGACTGTTTGGCGCCATCTTGTGACTGAATAATGCACAGGTTAGTGTATACTCCATCACCTATTTTAATTTCTGCCAGCTTTGTGTTCAGTTAAAGAATGAATAAGCTCTTCTTACTCAGAACAATGCTGTGTGTCTAATTTTTATGTTTTGTGGCAAGTAGCCATGGAATAAGTGGGAAAAAGTCCATCCAGCATGGCTGTTTTCACAAAATACAACAGTGCTACAGTTTCAACCTGTCAGGTGTCACCAAGTCAAATGTAAGACTTTTAAGAACATTATGTATGAAATTTCAGACTTATGCAGACCTAAACACTTTTAAAATGGCACAGTTTGGCCAATGAAAAAAAAAAATTACTAGCCTCAAGACAATTTTGATTTTGTTATTTCTTAAACACATATTTTAAAAAGTTTTAAAAACTATAATAAATTAAATGTATGAACAATAGTGTCTAAAATGCATGGATAACTTTTAAACAAATGTTATTGTAAGTAAGGTATTTCTACCACTCTAAAAAAAAAGAGTTAAATATTAAACTTTTGTTAAAAGTTTTAATTAAGATGACTTGTTGGTGATTGGTCAGCCAGATAGGGTAACTTTACATGGACAGGGAGAAATTAAGATTTGTTTAAAAGGATTTAAGACCTACACCAAGACATTTCAGTAACTTTAAGACCTTAAGGCCTAAAAATTAGTTTTTAAAATTTAAGATATTAAGACCCTGAGAACACCCTGGCTTTATTCTCCATTAACAACTTCCTGAATTTACTTTACCCCTAACATAATGAAGCAAGGTTAACTTGGGTTTGGTTCTAAATATTACTTTTCACATTAAAGTTCATATCCAAACAGCAGCTGTAATGCTTACCTGTGCTGCATCAAAGCTGTGGATATCCTAGTAGAGATGATCTTAGGCAGACCTATGAAAAAAACAAACTCATTAGTTTAACACAAAAACAACTCAGAGTAACACAACTAATGGAAAAAGACTGGAGAGAATTTGGAAAAAACTCAGTCTAACACACACCTCTTATCTAAAGTGTATGGCGTGTACACTGGTGGTTGCGCTGTTGGGCAAACTCTCAGATAAACACAAGGAATGAGCAACTGTTTACATGTCACAGACAATCCCAACAATCCCACAGCGATTGTGTGCCATTTGGCTGAATAAATATCTGATGACGATGACTATTGTTTTAGGGCCTCGATGCGCCGACTGCCAGAAGACGGTTTATAGTCAAATGATCTCGGTGCAGTCAAAGCGAGAGATCATTTCCTCTAGAACGATGGCCAGCGATTGTCCATTGTCCAAACGTGGGTCAGGAAGATGGTGAGGGGAAAAGGCAGATCCAAAAGTACAGTGCAGACAGCGAAAGCAGGATACGCTGATTTATTTGAAATGCATCATACTGAGCACATGGGTTAAAAAGAAATAACCACAAATTAAAAAAACAACAAATTCATTTATAAGCCTAACATTAACACTGAAAGCTGCTTAAAAAGTACCAGAAATGAACCCAAAACAAGAACAATTTGCATGCCAATTGTGCCTATTTTGTTTAAATAATTATTGAATAGAGATTACACAACTTTATTGTGCATTTGATTAGTTTATATCTGTACCTGAATACTGTTAAGGCTGGTTTATTTTTCCAGTACAGCCTTTGCGCTGTCACATAGCCCTCACTGTGGCTGACAATGATACGCACCTCTCAAAAAATGTAACTACACATCACAACAATGTTTAGCGCAAGCTCTGTGATTGGTCAGCTTGGCACTTGGCGAGTCCCATGAAGGAGCTCCAGATGGAAACCTTTGTTTTGTGTTTACCCCATGATTACAGATAGGGTTGGGCGATGTCGACAAATTTGCCATTGTACAATGTCTCGCTAAAATTACTAAGTACAAACGTGAAAGTGAAAGATTGAGGCAGAGTACTGATACTGTGACACGTTACCTGATAGATTCAAAAGACCGAAGAGTCATTAGATAGAGACTAGATTAATTAAATATCATATTTAACAACTATAGTGAGACATCATCCAGCAGTACATCCTTGAAAAACTGTCCAACGTGCACTGCTCTCTGAGGTTTTGTGCTCAAAGCACCTGCTGACCGCCTGGAGCCTAGACGTGTGCATACACTGCAGCTCATGCCAGAGTGTGTGTGTGGACACGTGATGTGCATTTTCAATTGTATAATGTGGATGGAGATCTGTTCAGAAAAGGTAGGTGAAACGCCAGTGTGAATGTGGATCGTTTTATTCTAAAATGCCATTTTAAAACGAAGACGTATTGGTGTATACGGGGCCTGCGTGAGGATCGCAATGCTCAGCATTGTGATGTCTATCGGCCATCGGATATGGATGATGTCATCGTCTATCGACCCAACCCTAATCGAAGAGCAAAAATAATAATAAAATAATAATAATATAAAAAATAATAATAATAAATAAAAAATTAAAATACAGCCAGTAGTGCCCCCCAAAAAATAAAATAAAAACAATAGTAATTTTTAGATAAAAAAAGAGATAATATATTCGTTCATATTGCTCAGTGTTTGTGGTTAAGTATCTTCTTATCTTCCAATCAGAGATGTTGTTAAAAAGATAATTTCCTTTACTTAATCAATAGGGGAATCCGATAATCTGAAAACACAACAGACAAAATAAAATTGGAGTTAGCAAGCTCCATTTAAGCAAATCAAAGTAAACTAAATTACTGAAGAGATCATCGGTACTCCCGACTACATCGTTTGCAGTTGTTGTTGCTAAATAATGCATTAATAACGCAATAATTGTTAATCGTATTTTGTGCTGTTGATTAACAGGAAAACATTAATAATGTAAGTTGGAATTATTTTAATCACTATTTAGGAATCAACGTTTTTGGAACACAGAAACGATATAAGCTAGTGCTGTTAAATGATTATTTGTGACTAAATTCAACACAAAATAAACATTTGTGTTTGCATAATTTTGTGTGCATATATATATATATATATATATATATATATATATATATATATATATATATATATATATATATATATATATTCATTCATTATATTTGCACATATAATAAATAAATAAATATATACATATATTAAATAAATTATTTTATATATATTATTTTATTATATACTATTATTATTACATATATATATATATATATATATATATATATATATATATATATATATATATATATATATATATATAATATTAAAAATAATAATAGTATATAATTAAATAATATATATAAATAATTTATTTAATATATGTATATATATATTAGTATTACTATTATTCATTATATACAACTATAATTGTTTATTAAAACTAATTATAATTCAAATTAATATATAAAATTTAAAGATATATAAAAATTGTAATCTAAATGTTAATATTTTAGTGTGTATATATGTGTATAAATACATAAATATGTGTATAAATACATAAATACACACAGTACATGCATATAAATTCTGTAAATAAAATTTATTTTGTACGTGATTAGTTACTATTACAAAGCACTAACATTCTCCATGAGAATTTATTATTGTAATATACATTTTCTTACATTTAATACTATTTTTGAAAATACCTTTATTTGCAGTTCACCTTCATACATCTGAAACGTGCACACATCTGTTGATTAACTCCCCTGCAAAGAGCGATCTGAACCAGACTCATTTTATGAGCTCCATCATGTGCTGTTAGGAGCTTCAAACCTGGAGCAGCTTCACTAATTAGATTAATGAACGCTGGGAGGCAAAGTTAACAACAGTGAGCAGAGACAGCCAGAGAGACACTCCTCAAATCCAGCAGACAAAGCCAACAGTGCATTCACTCCCTCCGCATAGCTGGAGTTCACAGCCAGAGAACACAAAGCCAGGGCCAATCACACACCACACACTGATCTAACCATCATATTCCCATCAATAAAGCCCTTTTCTCTTTATAGTACAGCTACTTTCACTCTTTAAAGGGCCTGTGGTCTGTTGCTTTTCCTTGTTGATGTTTTGAGAAACAGATAACGATAATCAATATATAGTACAACACATGGACATGACCACAATAACTTTTGGTGATGCAATATATATCGCCCATCCATAAAAAGCTGATTGTCCAACATCTCTATCTCTATAGCAAGTGTCAGTACAGTTAAATAAACACTCTAGTGTTTACTATAAATTACTACAGTATATTTTCATGTGGGCACCTCACGACTGAAAATAGATCTGAATATCGCAGCCTCTGTTACTTTTTAGTTAACATTTATTATTATTTATTTAGGATATGCATTTTCACATTCTGATTCCTCATTATTAAAATTACTATAATTAAATAAAATATTCTTAAGAATAAACTATGATGTGTTCCTATGGAAGAGTGGACTTGCATTGTGATGTTATTACATCAATTGTGATTCGGTTATTATATAGTGAGTGGCATAAAATGGTCTTGAAATGACAATAATATTGTCAATAATATCGCAATATATTTTGCGCTAATATCTCTTACAACAAAAAATAGATATCTTGACAGGCCTAGAAACACATTTAGCATTACTTACACTAACAAAAAAGGCCATGATCGTAATAGTTCATTCTTTCATTCATTTTCTTGTCGGCTTAGTTCCTTTATTAATCCGGGGTCGCCACAGCGGAATGAACCGCCAACTTATCCAGCAAGTTTTTACGCAGCGGATGCCCTTCCAGCCACATCTCTGGGAAACATCCACACACATTCACACACACACTCATACACTACGGACAATTTAGCCAACCTAATTCACCTGCACCGCATGTGTTTGGACTGAGGGGGAAACCGGAGCACCCGGAGGAAACCCACGCCAACGTAGGGAGAACATTAAAACTCCACACAGAAACACCAACTGACCTAGCTGAGGCTCGAACCAGCAACCTTCTTGCTGTGAGGCGACAGCACTACCTACTGCGCCACTGCGTCGCTCTGATCGTGAAAATAAAAAATAATAATAACAAAATAAAAAAAATGCTACAATAAATTTTATAGCTGTAAAAAAACAAACAAACAAACAAACAAACTTTCATGAGTTTATAGTATTATATAGTAATACAGTGGTCCCTCGTAATTTGCGGGAGTTACATTATAAAAATAACCAATTACAATTATAATGTTACTCCGTCTGAATGATCCAGAACGGAGCTTTATTTCACAAATATTTTGACAATTCTCAAAGTTATCTGAAACATTTTACTTCAATTTAATATGATTCAAATGAATATGAAATCACTTTACATTCTAACGCTATTCACAGGGGCGTCAGCTTCAACGCCTACTAGGGATGACTGTTTTTAGTCGTATTCACCAACTTATTATTATATACTGCATATTGTTTTTGTCTTTGTCAGTCACCTTTTCTTCTTTTCGTATCTTTTTAGAAAGAAACCGAAACACTTCCACACATCCGATTTAAAACCCGCTTTAGGTTCGATAATTTACAGCTCTTTTTCTTCCCCACTACAAGTAACACACTCCCTTTCCGCATTACTGGATCTGTAGTGACAACAGACCGCAAAGGATGATGGCCACGCCTAGGCTGATGGTAATTATAGTTCCCGCTACCTCCCGTTCACTTCATTCGCCTAAGCCAACCTTTCTCAGAAATATAGTTTTATTGAGTCATGCGCCTACGGTAATATTGAAAAAAACTACTATTGCAGTATGACGGTATTTACATCCCTAAAGCTTACCATTCACTTTGAATGGGTGAAGTCAGGCGTTGCCGAACTGCATTGTGGATCCGGAAGCGTCAGCATACAGATCGCTCTATGCAAATATACCAGCTAGACAGTGGCCTTTTGCTGACTGAATTTCATTGGCTGACGATTTGACGATTGCGTTAGCCCTAACTTCAGACACGCCTTCAGTCAA